CCTAGGAGACTGAGGTTGCAGTGAGCTGAGATCGCGCCATTGCACTCCATCTTGAGGACTCTGTCTCAACAAACAAATAACATTTGAAAAAATCTTAACTGAAATAGTCTTAAACCAACAGGTATGAATAATCTAAAACAAAAATGTTTGAAACCAGATAGGAAGTTTTAATCCAAACCATAATGTATGTAAAACACGGCCATCAGGAAAAGACAAATTGCTAACGTATCTTCTACCTTTTCCTTCCCATAGGACTACAGTTCCCTCACCAATTCTTTTGAAAATTACAATCTTCTCCCTTCCAAAAGGAACACACATAATTTTATATACAATCCAAGGGATCTGCCTATCTCCAGAAATCCATCCATGGATTCTCTACTGGTCCCAAAATTCCAGTCTCAGAACTGTTGTCACAAAGCAGATTTTGCCTTTCCCTGTGATACATATTTAATTTTTTTTTTTTTTTTAAAGACAGGGATCTTGCTATGCTGCCCAGGCTGGTCTAAAACTCCTGGCCTCAAGTGATCCTCCTGCCTTGGACTCCCAAAGTGCTAAGATTACAGGTTGAGCCGCTGCACCCAGCCTGTAGCATATATTTACTTAGACAAAGTTCGTAAATCAAAATTTTCTCTACTACCTTTCCTTTTTCTCCCTACCCTTTTTTCTCCCAATTTCTCCAGTGTATCTGTGGGTCAGAAATGAATTAACAAGACTCATGCCTATAGTCTTAGCACTTTGGGAGGCTAAGGCAGAAGGATTGTTTGAACCCAGAAGGTTGAAGCTACAGTGAGCTATAACTGCACCACTGCACTTCGGCCTGGGTAACAGAGCAAGAAGACCATACCTGAAAAAAAAATAATAAAACAAAATAATTTAAAAAATCAAAACGGAATGGATATGAAGACATTTCCTAAAGAAGATATACAAATGGCCACTGCATAAAGAAAAAGATGCTCAACATTATTAGTGAAATATAAATCAAAATCTCAGTGAGATACCACTTCACACCTATTAGAATGGCTAAAAAAAAAAAAAAAAAAAAACTGGAACGCAGCAAGTGTTGGTGAGAATGTGAAGATATTGGTTGGAAGCCTCATGTTACTGGTAGGAATATAAAATGGTACATTGCAGAACAGTTTGGCAGTTCCTTAAATAGTTAAACATAGAGTTAACATAGGACTCAGCAATTCCAGTTCTATGCATAAATTCAAAAGAACTCAAAATATAGGTTCACATAAAAACTTGTATACAAATGTTCACAGAAGCATTTTTTATAATAGCCAGAAGGCAAAAACAATCCAAATATACATCAACTGATGAGTGGATAAACAAAATATATAACCATAAAAAGAAATATTATCTGCTATAAAAGGAACGAAGAGGTCAGGTGCAGTGGCTCATGCCTGTAATTCCAGCAGTTTGGGAGGATGAGGTGGGATGATCGCCTGAGCCCAGGAGTTTGCAACCAGCCTGGTCAACACAGCAAGATCTCCTCTCTATAAAAAGTTTTTAAAAAATTATCTGGGTGTGGCAGTGCACATTTGTAGTCCCAGCCACTCAGGAGGCTAAGGTGGGAAGACTGCTTGAGCCTAGGAGGCTGAGGCTGCAGTGAGCCATGATCATGCCACTGCATTCCAGTCTGGGCAAGAGAGCGAGGCCCTGTCTCAAAAAAAAAAAAAGGGAATGGCCGGACATGGCAACTTATGTCTGCAATCCCAGAACTTGGGAGGCCAAGGTGGGTGAATTGCTAGAGTTCAGGAGTATGAACCAGCCTGGACAACATAGTGAAATCCCATCTCTACCAAAATTACAAAAAATTAGCTGGTAGTGGTGGCATGCACCTGTGGTTCCAGCTATTGAGAGGCTGAGGCAGGAAAATCGCATGAATTCAGGAGGCAGAGGTTGCAGTGAGCTGAGATTTTGCCACTTCACTCCATTCTGGGTGACAGAGCAATACTCCATCTCAAAAGAAAAAAGGAATATAGTACTGATATATGGTACAAGATGGATAAATCCCAAAAGCATTATGCTAAGTGAAAGAAGCCAGACACAACAAGTTACATAGCTGTATGACTCTATTTATATGAAACAGCCAGAATAAGCAAATAAAGACAGAAAGTAAATCATCATTAACAGGAGCTGGGATTAGGGAGGAGTGGGGAGTGACTGCTGCTGGGTTCCGGTTTTTTGGTGTTTCTTTTTTTTTGAGATGGAGTCTCGCTCTGTTGCCCAGGCTGGAGTGCAATGGCGCGGTCTCGGCTCACTGCAACCTCTGCCTCGAAGGTTAAAGTGATTCTCCTGCCTCAGGCTCCTGAGTAGCTGGGATTACAGGCGCCCTCCACCACGCCAGGCTAATTTTTGGATTTTTAGTAGAGACAGGGTTTCACCATGTTGGCCAGGCTAGTCTCGACCTCCCAAAGTGCTGGGATTACAGGTGTGAGCCACCTCGCCAGGCTCCAGGTTTCTTTTGTGGGCAATGAAAATGTTCTGGAATTAGATATAGGTGATGATGGCTGCACAATCTTGTGAATAAACTGCAGACTTGTATACTTAAAAATGGTTAACTTTATAGTAAATGAATTATATTTCAATAAAAATAAGTAAAATGAAATAGGCTATTTGGATATAAACAGTTCAAAGGTGATCTGAAATAATACAATCATGTGAAAATAAATTATGATTTTGTTATAAAATGATATTATCAATTTCCTGGATAGCTCATAACCTGAAAAGAGGGCCCTAACAGCAGTGACCCAATGAGGCTGAGTGGGAAATAACAGCTGCAGTGCTGACAGTCAACAGATCTGGATGGGCTCTATTTGGAGCTCTTCCACACTGCTGGGCCAGTTAGTCCACCTTTCTAGCTCTCAGTTTTTTCAGCCACAAACTTAAGGGATTCCCTTCCACAACTGTAGAAGTTTAATGTTCTACAAGTTCGTGTTGATTATTTGTGTCTATTCTGTTACCTAATTCATCTGGTCACCTATTGCCACATAGGTAATTCCCAACCTCTTCAACGTTAACGGTTATCACACACTCCTTCCCTTAGCCCACCCCATCATGTTCTATTGTTAAAAAAAAATGTAAATAAAAAAATACATAAGCAGAATACGTATAAAGAAAATTTAAAAATGGTGTCTCAGAATCTGTATTGAGGTCATACTTTTTATTTGTTACTAATCAAATATATAAAACAGCCAGTTATGGTATTTTGGTTATACTGTGAAGTGTTACCATAATTTCAATTTGACTCTTTGAACACAAAAATTAGCTTATGAATCTCAGTTTGGAGACACTTGGGTTAAGAAAATAGTCCACAGTCTTTAAACAAATATAATGCTTGATGGAAATGAGCCCATGACCTTAACCATGGGAACAGGTAGATTTTTCCAGATACAACACAGAGTCCACCACACTGTCTTAAGGTAGAGAGAGACATGAGCACACTTAACACCATTCCTTGGATGATTCTATTCACAATCCTCTGCCTTAGTCAGAAAGCATTTAAGGAAATATGCAAAAAATGATGTAGAAGAAATCCATGAAGCCTAAGACCTGCCATATGTATTGTTCCCTTTATTTTACTTTTCTTCTCTCTTTTTTTGAGACAGCATCTGTCTCTGTCACCCAGACCCAGGCTACAGTGCAACGGCATGATCTCGGTTCACTGCAACCTCTACCTCCCAGGTTCAAGTGATTTCCCTGCCTCAGCCTCACAAGTAGCTGAAATTACAGGCCTGCACCACCACGCCCAGCTAACTTTTATATTTTTAGTAGACGAGGTTTCACCATATTGGCCAGGCTGGTTTTGAACCTCTGACCTCAAGTGATCTGCCTGCCTTGGCCTCCCAAAGTGCTGGGATTACAGGCATGAGCTACAGCAACCAGCCTACTTTTCTTAACTGTGTGTGTGTGTGGTTTTTTTTTTTTTTTCCTTTTTTTAGTATGTAAGTCACAGGTTGAGTAAAATATAATCTGGTAACAATGCCACACTGTGTTAAAATTAAAGGTGACCAGGCATGATGGCTCATGCCTGTAATCCCAGCACTGGGAGCCGAGGTGAAAGGATCAGTTGAAGCTGGGAGTTTGAGATCAGCCTGGGCAACATAGTGAAACACCATCTCTACAAAAAACTTTTTTTAATTAGCCAGGTGTGGTGGTGCATGCCTACAGTCTTAGCTACTCAAAAGTCTGATGTGGGAGGGTCACTCAAGCCCAAGAGTTTCAGGCTATAGTGTGCTATGATCGTGCCATTGCCCTCCAGCCTGGGCAACAGAGCAGTACCCTGCCTCTTAAAAAAAAAAAAAAGGCAAAAGTGCCCAACAACTCTATAGGTAGCTTACTTAGAATAAAATTAGCTCAACTGGCTGGGCGCAGTGGCTCACACCTGTAATTTCAGCACTTTGAGAGGCCGAGGCGGGTGGATCACAAGGTCAGGAGTTCAAGACCAGCCTAGCCAAGATGGTAAAAACCTGTCTCTACTAAAAGTACAAAAATTAACCAGGCACAGTGGGAAAAACCTGTAATCCCAGCTACTCAAGAGGCAGAGGGAAGAGAATCACTTGAACCCAGGGGGGCAGAATTTGCAGTGAGCCAAGATCACGCCACTGCACTCCAGCCTGGGCGACAGAGTGAGACTCTGTCTCGGAAAAAAAAAATTAACTCAATAGAGGTTTTCTACGTTGGATGTTGGCAAACTGATCCAATGGATCCTTCCTCCCTTTTGGGAGGTATAGTTAACACAAAGAAGAAACTGATTACTGGGGTTTGAGTTGTTGCCCTAAATACACTGAGTTATATTTAATGAATCTTCACGAGACATCCAGTATACTGGTCTTACATGTAGGACAGATACAATGGCGCATTCCTATAATCCCAACACTTTGGGAGGCCAAGGTGGGTGGATCACGAGGTCAGCAGATCAAGACCATCCTGGCCAACATGGTGAAACCCCATCTCTACTAAAAATACAAAAATTAATTGGGTGTGGTGGCACGCACCTGTAGTCCCAGCTATTCGGGAGGCTGCGGCAGGAGAATTGCTTGAACCTGGGAGGTGAAGGCTGCAGTGAGCTGAGATCGCGCCGCTGCACTCCAGCCTGGCAACAGAGCAAGACTGTCTAAAAAAAAAAAAGAAGTAAAGGGACTCTGTGTTACTAAAACTGCTGCTACTCAAACAAGGGATTTATTTATTTTTTATCTAGAGGTAAATAATAAACAAGGAAGGCCAGGCGCGGGGCTCACACCTGTAATCCCAGCATTCTGGGAGGCTGAGGTGGGCAGATCACAAGGTCAGGATTTTGAGACCAGCTTGGCCAACATGGTGAAACTCCGTCTCTACTAAAAAAAAAAATACAAAAATTAGCCAGGCGTGGTGGTAGGCGCCTGGTGGTAGTACCAGCTACTCGGGAGGCTGAGGTAGGAGAATTGCTTGAACCCGGGAGGCGGAGGTGGCAGTGAGCTGAGATTGCGCCATTGCACTCCAACCTAGGTTACAGAGTGAGACTCTGTCTCAAAAATAATAATAAACGGGCCAGGCACGGTGGCTCACGCCTATAATCCCAGCACTTTGGGAGGCCGAGGCAGGTAGATCACGAGGTCAAGAGATCGAGACCATCCTGGTCAACATGGTGAAACCCCGTCTCTACTAAATATACAAAAAATTAGCTGGGCATGGTGGCATGTGCCTGTAGTCCCAGCCACTCGGGAGGCTGAGGCAGGAGAATTGCCTGAACCCAGGAGGCGGAGGTTGCGGTGAGCCAAGATCGTGCCATTGCACTCCAGCCTGGGTAAGAAGAGTGAAACTCCGTCTCAAAATAAATAAATAAATAAAATAATAATAATAATAATAAACAAGGAGCGTATGTCTCCTTTTTTGCCTGAACAGAGATTACTTTTTCTACTTAAAATGTGCAGTTTATACACGAAGCACTGTCTAATCCTACACTCTATTCATGCATTCACAAGCTTTGACTATTATTTACATGCAAAGTACCAAGAGGCTAATATAAAAAGAAAATATTTACTTATTTGTTCTTTAAAATAATTATTGTATTGACCCTCACGTTCGCAAGCTTAAAATTAGGTTGAGAAGCAAGACCTACACACAAAAAATAAGTCATGATTGCCAGATACAACAATTTTTTGTTTGTTTTTGAGACAGAGTCTCGCTAAATCACTGAGGCTGGAGTGCAGTGGTGAAATCGTGGCTCACTTCAGCCTCCACCTCCCAGGTTCAAGTGATCCTCCCACCTCATTCTCCTTAGTAGCAGGCACATGCCACCATGCCTGGCTGATTTTTGTTTTTTTTGTTTTTTTTTTTTTTGGTAGAGACAGGGTCTCACTGTGTTGGTCTGCCCAGGTTGGTCTTAAACTCCTTGCTGCAAGCGATCCTCCTGCCTCAGCCTCCCAAAGTGCTGAGATTATAGCATAAGCCAATGCACTGTACCCGTTTCTGAACTCTGAAAAAGAATAAGAGAACCAGCACCTTCTGCTAGATGTCACCTTGTCTGGATGTGATGCATGGAAGTGTAAAACCCATCTTGCATCTATGATGTGTGTTGGTCAAAGAACAAGGCAGACATGTTCAAGCTGGCAGAGCAGAAAGGTGAAAAGAATAGGGGTCCTGATTGATGTCACTAAACCACAGATTTAAACCAACCCTAGACTGAGGTATCTTGTTACTTGTAAGGATATATTTTCCTTACTTGTAATTATTTTGAATTGGATTTTCTATTACTTGAAGTCTACAGCATCCTAATAATGTATACAGTCATGTTTGAGATGCAAATCAAACAACTAAGTAGAGTTGTCCAATAGCCAACTGGACGGGAAGCAGCTGATCAAAGGAAAAGTCAACACTGTAGTTATATATTTAGGAGATATCGGCAAACAGAAACACTTTACATTTGGGGCCAGGGAGACAGAATAAATAGAGAAAAGAAAGGGCTGAACACCAAGCCTTGGGATACCCCAAGAGCAGAGAAGAAAAGGATAACAATGAAGAAAGAAGAAATTAACAGCGAGGTAAAACAAAAACACTAAAGTGCAGTGTACAGAAGCCAAGAGGTTAAAAAAGACGGGGGAAAATGACCACTGAATGTAGTGCCTCATAATTCCTTAACATGAAGGTCTCCTTGTCCTCTTCCCTGAAAAAACACCAGACTTAATTAGCATAATGGTTAAGGGCTCAGACTTGAGCTGACTTCTGGAGCTATCACTCACTAGCTGTGGGTGATATTTAACCAGTCACACTAGTTAAAAGTGTGATTAGGAGAGAATGGAAGCTGAGGAACAGAAGCTGGAGTGGGATTCAAGACAAAGAAAAGGTCTGAGTTTGGATTTTTTTTTTTTTGAGACGGAGTCTCGCTCTGTCACCCAGGCTGGAGTGCCGTGGTGTGATCTTGGCTCACTGCAAATTCTACCTCCCAGGTTCAAGCAATTCTTCTGTCTCAGCCTCCTGTGTATCTGGGACTACAGGTGCGTGCCATCACGCCCAGCTAATTTTCGTATTTTTAATACAGACGAGGTTTCACCATATTAGTCAGGCTGGTCTCAAAACTCCTGACCTAGTAATCCACCCACTTCGGCCTCCCAAAGTGCTGGGATTACAGGTGTGAGTAACACCACAGCTGGCCTTAAGTTTGGATTTTTAAAGACTGGAGAAACTTAGCATGTTTAAATGCTGAAAAGATCACCTCTGATTACAAAACTCCTTTACAGAAATACATTTTGGGGCAGGGCACAGCAGCTCACACCTATAATCCCAACACTTTTGGGAAGCGGAGGCAGGTGGATCACCTGGAGTGATCGGAGTTCAAAACCACCCTGGCCAACATAGCGAAACTCCACCTCTACTGAAAATACAAAAATTAGCCAGCCATGGTAGTACATGCCTGTAATCCCAGCAATTCCAGAGGTCCAGACAGGAGAATCACTTGAAACTGGGAGGCAGAGGTTGCAGTGAGCCAAGATTGTGCCACCGCACTCCAGCAACACAGCAAAACTCTCTCTCTCTCAAAAAAAAAAAAAAAAAAAAAAAAAAAAGAGAGAGAGAGAGAGAGAGAGAGAGAGAGAGAGAGAGAGAGAGAGAGAGAGAGGGAAATACATCTTGGAATTCATTATAGCATTATAAGAGGTTAATTCATTAAACTTTTTTTTTTTTTTTTTTTTTTTTGAGACAGAATCTCACCCTGTCACCCAGGATGGAGTGCAATGCATGATCTCAGCTCACTGCAACCTCCGCCTCCTGGGTTCAAGCAATTCTCATGCCTCAGCCTCCTAAGTAGCTGGGATTACAGGCATCCACCACCACACCCAGCTAATTTTTTTTTTATCTTTAGTGGAGATGGGGTTTCATCGTGTTGGCCAGGCGGGTCTCAAACTCCTGACCTCAGTGATCTGCCCACCTCCACCTCCCAAAGTGTTGGGATTACAGGCATGAGCCACCATGCCCGGCTGGCTCATTAAGCTTTTAAAAACTGACCAGCATGGTAGCTATACTCTCAACACTTTGGGAAGCTGAGGAGGGCAGACAGGTTGGGTTCAGGAGTTCAGCCTGAGAAACATGGCAAAATCCCATCTCTACAAAAAATATAAAAAATTAGCCAGGTGGGTTGGTGCAGCTGTAGTCTCAGTTACTTGGGAAGCTGAGGCGGGAGGATGGCTTGAGCCCTGGAGGCTGGAGCTGCGGTCGAGCGGAGCATTTGGGGCCTGGGCCACAGAGAGAGACCCTGTCTCAATAACAATGACAAAATTATATATAGAAGAAAAAGTATGGCCGGGCACACTGGCTCACACCTGTTATCACAGCACTTTGGGTGGCTGAGGTGGGAGGATCACTTGAGACCAGGAATTTGAGACCAGTCTGGCCAACATGGCAAAACCCTGTCTCTACTAAAAATACAGAAAATTAGCTGGGCATGGTGGCAGGCACCTGTAATCCCAGCTACTTGGGAAACTGAGGCAGGAGAATCGTTAGAACCCAGGAGGTGGAGGTTGGAGTGAGTTGAGAGTCGAGATCACACCACTGCACTCCAGCCTGGGTGGCAGAGTGAGACTCTGTCTCAAAAAAATAAAAAGAAAAGAGAACATATGACAATGCCACAGTCTTAACCTTTGCCTCATTTTAGAACACACTGACTGAAGAAAAAGAATGGATGGTCCAGCAAGGAAAAGAAAAAAGACGGACAGCTGGGTAAGGTGGCTCACGCCTATAATCCCAGCACTTTGGGATGCTGAAGTGGAAAGATCACTTGAGCCTAGAAGTTTGAGACCAGCCCAGGCAACATAGTAAGACTTCATCTCTACAAAAATTTAAAAAAAAAAAAAAAATTAGCCAGGCATTGTGGTGCGTGACAATAGTCCCAGCTTCTCAGGAGACTGAGTAGGGAGGATCGTTTGAGCCAGGGAGGTCAAGGCTGCAGTGAGCTGTGACCATCCCACCACACTCCAGATGGGTGACAGCAAGACTGTCTCAGAAAAGAAAAAAAGAAAAAGGATACCTTTTTTAAAAGTAGTAACAGAAAACAGTAAAAGTGCCTAATTTTCTCTAGGTTATTACAAAGATAATTCCATAATTATAACACAAACTCAAAGTACTAAACCACAAAAGCCCAAGTACTTTAAGAGCTAAGAAATCTACAACACAGCTACATAAAACCATTTAGAACATCCCCTTCAAGCACTTTCAGTCTTCAAAACTTTCTCGCATCTGGTCAGGTGCAGTGGCTCACACCTGTAATCTCAGCACTTTGGGAGGCTGAGGCAGGCAGATCACCTGAGGTGAGGAGTTTGAGACCAGCCTGGCCAACATGGTGAAACCCCGTCTTTACTAAAAGTACAAAGTTAGCTAGGCATGGTGGTGGGCACCTGTAATCCCAGCCACTCAGGAGGCTGAGTATGTAACACTTGAACCTCCGAGGAGGAGGTTTCAGTGAGCCAAGATCACGACACTGCACTCCAGCTTGGGTGATAGAGCAGGACTCCGTCTCAAAAAGAAAACTTTCTCAAATCTAAAGTATTTTTTCCCTTTGGTCTTACTGAAGAAGTATGTTATCTTGAGATAAGCTTTCTATAAACTTCTGCATAAGAACCACATAAGAAAATATTTTAAAATTTT